CTTTTTCATAATGCTTCTCTTATGAATATGAGTTATGAACATCTCTCTATCACTGGTAAAAATATCAGCCCATTTGGTCAAAATATGACGAGAACATTTAAATTTTTTTTTGTTCTCAATGACATATTGGATAGGAAAAAGAGGGGGAAAGACTTTTGCCCAGGAGTGTATTTCTTCTCAAATGAACAAAATGTATTTTTCTTTTGTGAAAACCTCATTTTTCAAAGTTCTTTTTTCGGATGAAGAGGGATTGATGTGCAAAAACGATTCGCAGAGCATAGTCTTTGGCTTTATAGCTCTAGCACGCATAGTATTGTACACGTGTTTATCTCGTTGAAATTAGTCTATTGAAATTTTCTTTCTAGATAACACAGTGGATAAAAATATTAATAACAGCTATGAATGCTTGCTGGAGACAAAGTCCGTTTGTTCGTCTTGGTTTTCTGAGCTAGCAGGCAAAGTATGGCGCTGGATCACCAACAAAAAGCCAACATATATCTCGATTCGACATGAAACTGACTAAACAATACGATTGAATATTGTTTGTTGTTGTGTTCGTAGTGGTAATGACTATATGATGTTCTTTGCTTGAAATTTGCTTGCTTGCTTTTGTCATTTCGTAATTCTCGAATTATATTTCGTTTTTTTTTCTATACTGTTAAGTATCTTGCTGTTCCCCATTCGGTAATGATGGCCAATCTTACTAATAAAATTCTCGTATCATTTGACGCAGATTATTTCTCGTGAAAGAAAAACCTCCGTTTAATGAATTTGATGTAGATCTTATTCAGTCAAACATATCAATTGATATTCAAAAGAAAGATATCATTCTGCATGTTTTGACTCAGAATAGATTTAATTGTGAACCCTAAATCGAAATACGGTTGAGTACGTCATTACCGAAAACAACATGATTGCAACTACTATAGGAATATACCGCAGTTTTCATGTTTCTTCGACGATTTTATTTTCGACCATGAACATACTGACCGTTCTGCTTATCTTTACACTCGAGAAGAAATGCTATCAACTTTTCTCGTTTTTGAAAACAATAGAAGCAAAACCTATATTATGTTGATGAAAAATTTCAATAGATTCGACTTCTAAGATGTTTCTTAAATGCCTGACTCGCAATCAACGACGATCAACCATATTCAGGCGCAAACTGCTAAAATACTTCTACTGTTGTAAGGCGTTCTTTTATCAATAACAAAAATCACTCGCTTTTCTCGTTCAAAATTTCATTTTCTAGAAGAAAAACAAATCGATACATTGTACCATTTTTATCTCATGTATATTCATGAAAACAGTTTTCAGAAAATATGTCAAACTACATAGTTATTCAATAGCTTGATGCTTTTTTGCCGTGAAAACCTTATTCATGCACAATCTTCGCTTTCGTAATACTTTAATCTCAATTATTCTTGTTCTTTTAGTCATCTTCATATTACTTCTCTACCTGGTGAATCTGTACGTTTTCATCTTTCTTTTTTTCTTCAATTAGAACCATATTTATTCATTTTAATCTGATTTTATATTTATTAGCTTTGGTTTCGACATATGGTCGGGGAAGATTGTAGCTAGCAGCAGTCCGACCATCTTCACCAACGTCACCTCCATTGAAATTCTACTCAAAGAATTAATCAATTTGATGAACAACAGCGTCTCATGGAGAAATTCTACTAGATGAACTCAATCTTTTTCTTTATCATATAGTTCTCAGTGTTTCTTTCTTTTGTCTTCGTACCATATTTCTAGTCTTTTCAAGTCAATCATGCTGTGATCTACGTTTTATTCGATGGTATCAAATACATGTCAGATGATCTCCTTCTTACTTTTATTCGATATATTATAATTAGCTTGATCTTGTTTTTCAACCAATTATATCACCACCGACTTTTTATTCACTCGTGAAAAAAGAGTTGGTCATGTCACCAACAATGCTTATCTCAACGAGATCTTCCATTTGATATAAGATAGTAGGGGTTCCGTTGAAAAAAGTCCGACAGGCCCATTTACGACCAAATGCGCCCCCCCCTCTTCTAAGTTCCTTTTTACAAATATTGAACACAAATAAAACGATGATAATTTTATTGATTAGTTTTCCCAATGTACAATATAGTTAACTATTATTATAATGATTTTATTTATTTCGAAACCAAATATAGTAAAAAACATTGAATTTTTAACAAATAATTTCTCTCTCATTAAATGAAAAATAAACTGGAAAATGAATTTTGTAGATCGACATGAAAAATCGTTTTAACAAGTTTTTTTCTTGTGTCATAGCAAAAAATACAAAAAAAAACCACCCTCATGAAATATAATAAAATTCAGTTCTTACAGAATAATACATATAATGATAATGTTTCTATGATATAATACAAACATGTTTCTTCTCTTTTTTGACTTCCAAAAGTAAAATAAAAAGAGGATTGAGTTGACTATCAGATGGATCAATTGAACCTAATAAGTCTTGTATTTTATCAGCATTTAATTCCATCAAATATTGTTTAACTCGATCACGATATTCAATAGGATCTTCATTATTAGCCATACGTTTCATAAATTTATGATTAGTATGTTGATCAAAAAATGAATTTGGTATTGAAAATGGTTCTCGTCGATGAAAGAAAGTTGGCTGTTCATTAATTGATAAATCTTTTGATAATTGTATATTTAATTGTGTATTCTTAAATGCATTACTTATTTTATTCACGATATCTTCAGCATGTGATTCTCTTAATGGATTAATATCTTCTTTACATATTAGTTGAATACAACATGCTTCTAATACTTTTGTATCACGAAGAGCTAATCTTTGTTGAATAGACCAATCTTTTGTACGATTATTTGCTATAATAATTCTGTCAAGTTTTGAATATAAACCAATTGTACCATTATCTTTTAAATTCATAATAAAATCTCGTTTCATAATAGTTATTTTTCTTGCAAGTAATTCAGGTAAACATGGAAAACGTACACATAAATTACATAATTCATCTAATTTTTTTTTAATTCCTTTTTGACTAATTGATACAATAATATTCGATATACTTTGTAAAATAGTTTTTGCTTCAGGAACTAAATCAGCTATGACTTGAATACTTCTATTAAAATCAGATTGTTGAATAGCAAATATATCAGCATCAGCTATAACTGCTGATTGAAATAAACTTTGAAGACTTCGTTGAACTTGTGTAAAATATTCCATTAATTTTTCATTCCTCAATAAATCATAATTACGTTCAAGTGTCTCAATATCATTTGAAACGTTGGTAACAGTAGCAATGGATGTAGTCTTTGAAGACATTGAAATACTTGATTGAAGTTGTTGTTCAAATACATCAAAAGTCATAGTTAACCAACGTCTTGCCAATATTGGATCTCTAAATATTCCATTTTTACTCATTAAAATATCACGAATAATTTTCCATGGTTCTGATTTAAGGAAAAATAAACATTGTTTAACATTTGATGAATTATCATTAAAATAATTTTCAATATGTTGATATGTACGACAATCATCACGTTTTTCTAAAATAGATATAAATTCTTCATCTGAAATTTTTTTATAAAAATTTGTAGTTATATTTTGTTTTTCTCCACGTAATACTTCAATATCTTTTGCATAAAAATAAGGTTGATATATTTCATATTTTACTTCATCTTTTCCCGAAAGATTTAATAGAAGATCTTTTATTTCAATTAATCGTCCGTGAGCATCTCGATCTTCATCAACAAATTTCTGTAAACATGTTTCTAATGATATTTCATAAACATTTGGATGAAAATTTGATGAATCTAATTTCATTTTAAAACAATTTTCTTGATATAAACAGCATAAATATGTAGCAAAATCAGCCAGAAAACATGCACATCCCATACCAAGAATTGCTCCATTTTGTTGACAATTATCATGAATTGCAACTAAATCACAATCTTTTTTAATACTACTTAGAAATGTTGGTGTACCTGGTTGATAAATTAATAATTTATATGTTCCAATTATTGAAAAAAAATATGTACATCGTCCCCAATCATCTGTTAAAGGCTCTAATGACGTTGGTATAACATGTAAAAAATTAATATTATCTCTTAAACGATCTTTTAATTTCTCATGAAAAAAATCACAATTTAATTCAGCTATAAAATTTGTTAATCGTTGAAGAGTAAGATGGTTTTTTTTAACTACTGATATTTGATTATTACATAATTCATGTTGTAATCCGGTCAAGATGCTCGTTAGACTTTTCTCAATATATATTGAACTTGTTACCATAATAATTAATCTGTCTTAATTTAGAACAAATGAATTTATTGAAAGAAATCAACATATCAATATAATAAAAATTTTCTCATTTACAAATGTTTACTTACAAACAAATTCTTTCTTACAAAAATTAATTCTTACAATATATTGACTAAAATATCATTTGAATTTTGTTTTTCCGAACACTTATTTTCAGAGTTTTTCATTCAAAGAAAATTAATTACAATGGACTAATCGAACAAGTTTTCATTTGTTACCTTAATGAGTTCTACTTAAATGCTCAAAATGAAATCTAATAAGTATAACATTATAAGATTCATCGATCAATAAAATTTGTGTCAGAAAAATAACATTTAAAATAAATCAAATATTATATCCTATTATTACTTATTATACTTTTTTCAAATTAGTTGGTAGACTGATAAAAGGATTTCGGATAATTGTAAAGAGAATATTTGATTATCTTCTTTTTAAATTATTTCAAACAATCAAAACAAAAAAAAAACATTTTTAATAAAACGATTAGGTTACCATTGTTTTCATTAACTATATCTAAATAAAACAGTGAAAAATAACTTAAAAAATATGCTTGTAATCTATTTTTTTCATATTTTATTTTCAAATTAGAAAGCAATTTGCATTGACTTCCTCAAAATGAATACCGTCTAACACTTATCTTTTTTTACGTATTAAGATGTTTGTCATTTGAAATTCAAGTGGAATTTTTCTCCAGCTTTTTCATCCGTGATTTAATAGAGTGTAAGCTGCTGATCATGAAAAACTAATTTTTAACGTTTATGAACACCTATTTCAGGTTGAAAATCCAAAAAAACTAAGTGAGTGTTATTTTCATCAAAAAATATATCATTTGAAAATTACCTAAATTATTTTGCTTTATTCTACTTGAAAACTTCTACGAATGGTTTCTTCTAATTCAGGATAAAAAACTATGTTATAAAAACGATATTAAATCAATTGTAGTGTAATAAGTGTATCAACGACGAATACATTCTCCTCGTACCCTCCATTGCTGATGAGCCATTTTTGTAAACCTATCTAGTTTTTTCAGGTGCATAATGAAGTCAAGTATTCATCATATCACCAGTTATAAAAGTACGTATTGCTTTTTTCTTTCCTTTTCTTTATTGAGAAAAATCATCTTTACTGGTACTATTAGGAAAATTGGAAAGATCATTTTTTAAGTAAAATGTCTATTTTTTTGTTTAAATCAAGTCAAAATCCACCTAAATAGACAAAAGATTATGATAAATTGAATAAGCATATTTTGGAGGAACAGTGAAGGATTTCTGGAAAGCGACTTTGCGAAAAATCACTGCATCGTATAGGTGCGTATAGTATGATAGATCTTTTTCAATTGAACTAACTTGAATCGTTATGTCTACATTAAGGGGACCCCCCCCCTTTCCCGACTCAAAATTTTCACATTTTTCATTTTTCATTTTTTGTGATTAGTATATAGATTTGAATGCCCTCTATCCATTCGGTACATTTTGAGAACCGAAAAACCACATCTTATATATAAAAAATTCGAAAAAAATCACAAAATATGCTGAAAAAACCAAAAAAACACAAATTTCTTTGCGTTTTTCTCAAAATCAGTTTTTTCAGCAAAAAAATGAAGTTTTCCCCCTTTTTCTCCGCCATTTCAAGTCCGATCGGGCTGAAAATTGTTTTGGTGAGACTTCAAGTGATTTGGGTTGGGCGTTTTTTTTTTTTTTTGGATACCTTCTACCAATCAAGTTTGGCAGGCTTCGCAAAATTTTTAGGATCCAAAAAACCTAGAGATTTTGCAAGGTGCTCAGTATTTTGGTTCTCCAGCCTGAAGTATTTGGAATTTTTGAAAAAAAAAAAAAACGCCCACCCCGATTGGGTCCGTCTACCCACAGCAAAAATTTCAGCTCAAACGGATGAAATTTGTGGATTTGCGGGGGGGAAAACTTTTTGCAAGTTTTTGACCATGGGGTCTCTGGAAGTCCATGAAGATGACGTCTGGCAAATTTGTGTCTATGACAACTTTTGCTCTACTACTCGAGGTCTATCTACCCTGCAAGTTTCAGGAATTTTCGTTCGGCCGTTTCTTAAAAACGCCGGAAAGGGGGGGGGGGTCCCCTTAAGTGGGAAAAAAGGCAATTAGGAAGAGTGTCTTTTACTCGCGGTCCACATGAAAATATATCATATCCAAGCTACTCATTCAATGATAATATTCTCCTTCCGCGCAATAGAAGACTCCGAGTCTTCTATTGTGTTCCATTGTTTTCAGAATTTTTAATTAAAAGGATATTTTAGAAAATCAAAACGATTTTGAGAATTTAGGAAGATATTTTTAGGGTTTTAAAAGTCCAGAAACAGTGTTGATCTCAATCTTTTAGGATTTTTAGCTTAAAACCTTGAAAAATAGGCATATTTTGAAGTAAATATACTAATTGAAGTTCCAATTTTTTTTTGAGAAAGTAATTAATTGAGGGGAGAGAGATCTTTTATTACGTGAGGTACATCGTTCCTTTAAGTGAGTCTACTAATATATGACAATCTTCTAGTACAGAGCAGAATATAGTTATATACATACTACTGATCAAAAATTCAACTTTAATCAAGAATTTCTTTCAAATGATAGTTGTAATATTGCAAAAAATGTGAAAATCTTAATATTTGAGTATATTACTCTATCTGTCATTGCACTATTTCAAAAACCATTGGAAAGGCATGACGAATATTTGAAAACTATTGACTTTATGACTGGGCAAACTTCTTATAACTAGGCGACTGTATTTGCTAAAGGAGAGATTGTGGATATATGTAGTGTAGGTTTTGATGTTAGTAAGAGCTAATAGAAGATCTACATCCTCACCCAATATGAGCATCTACAGCGACCGATAAATCAAACGTTTTATAGTTTAATCTTCCTCTTATGTATGATTACGTTCCTATTGCATGGTTAAGCGTACAAAACTGTAAAGAAACCATAAAATACAGCTCGTTTATCCATTTAGGTTCGTGAAATACCGATTAGATGCAAAAAAAAAGGTTTTTCTCAAAGATGGTTTCCAAAAAGTCTTTATAAGCCCTTCAAAATATGTCTAGTCGATTTGTTATAATTTTTCACCTATTCGAGTGAACTTTGAGTTGATATGCACCAAAAATATGTATTTAACTTGAAAATGACCTATCACAATTTTATGAATATTCATAAATGTTAAAAAATAGTTTTTCGTGATCAGCAGCTTACATTCTATATATAAAAAAGACGAAAAAAAATTTACCTTGAATTTCGAAATACGTGGCAAACTCAGCTTTGTGATGTTTATTTTATGACAGAATTATTAACCTTGAAAAAAAAAGGAAAAAGAAAGTGATTATAATGATTCTCGACATAGAAAATGCGATCGATAGTTTCTTCTGCTCATAACTTTTTACGACATAAATATAATGCAGAAGAAAAAAGAAAAAGAGAAAAAGAAATAGTTTACATACACTATGTGAAGTATAGCGAATTTTGTATTAAAATGGCAATTTATTCTGTCAAATAAAAATTATTTTAATAATAAAATACAGGGTGGCCCAAAAGTAACGTTATTCAAAGAAAAAAAAGTTGAATATCTCCATTACAGTTCGAGCAAAAGGGCTGATTTTTTATCGCTAGTAAAGGTATATTCACACCTCATATTCATAAAGACAAGGCAAGAGAGAACCTTTTTTAAGTATCACTATTGATTTCAAAAAAATAATTTTTTACTTTTTCACCGATAGGAAAAAAACAATATACAGGATGGTGCAAAAGTTACTTTACCGAAAAAAAATTGAATATCTCCATTACGGCTCTAGCAAACGAGCTGATTTTTTTACTAATGAGAGAGGCATATTCAAGCTTTATATCCATAAAGACATGCCTAGAGAGACCCTTTGTTACATATGTTGGTTTTTTTTATCTGTGAAAAAGTAAAAATTTTTTTTGTTGAAGTTAATAGTCGAACTTAAAAAAGGTTCTCTCTTGCCCTGTCTTTATGAATATGAAGTGTGAACATACCTTTACTAGCGATAAAAAAATCAGCCCGTTTGCTCGAGCCGTAATGTAAATATTCAATTTTTTTTTTTTCTGTCGGTAATGTTACTTTTGGGCCATCCTGTATTTCTACAATATACTATTTCGACACTTACTATTCATTTATTTGAAATAAGTCTATCTTTAGTTTGTTTGTTTTTTTAATAATTCTTGTTACTCAAGTTAGATCTTGACTTGTATTCATCCTTAAATTTTTTCATAACATCTTTAAGGTTCCATAAAGTACGTCTAAGCAAAAATCGTCTTTTTTAACCTTCTTGTCTGTCTGAAATTGTTCGCTTTTGATTGATTCTTCTATTCTCCTGGACGTCTAATTTCCAAAAATTTTTTAGAAAGAGTCTATTTATTCGAAAAATACTGCTCGACACAAATTTAGCTTGAAAATTTCACGAAAAATGCTTAATAATCGAAAAAAGGTTATTAGATCAATCACTGCTGGAGTAAAATGTGAAACACAATGTAGGCTAATATTGCTAATCACAGGGAAATTATTTTATTCTATATATCTTCGGATACATTTCTTCATCCTTCTATTACTTAATCCTCCAGAAGTGCAATAATGAAGTAGTTAATACATTGTAACGAGTCATTGTTGATATACGGTTTACGATCATATATCAAAAACGCCTATCATAGTCTCCGACTAGCGTCTGTGGAGGAAAGAGAGGAGCCGAGAGTCTAAATTCCTATCGTCTATACTCCAACATTTCTTGTATATTGAGTTTCACAAAGTAATTGTTATAAGTGTCTGGACGTTCAGATGCGTCGAACTTCTCCTCCTATCCGATTTTTGCTGTCCCTCTCCTCTTTTCTTGGGCGTCATTTATGGATGACTCATTTCATCAATATTCTATTTAGCTTGTCATTTAATATGTATTAATTTTTTTGTTCTATATTTATCACTTACATGACTATCCTCCGAATAATGTCTTAGTGTCAAATTTATTTGATTTTGTTCATATTTCACATTATTAAAACATGTGAGAAATATATATTTTCTTCCAGCTAATAAACATTTTTCTCCATCGTTACCATCAACTATTAAATCTTGCTTGGCTTCAATGCAAAAACAATTCAAATTTTTTTGTTTATCAGTATCTAAGAGTGCATGAAAGATGTTTTTTTTTTCGAGATGAAGTTAAAAATTATAAGATTAAGTATATGATCTTATAATTATCTATTATTTTAAATAATAAGAGATATTGATCACTTTTTGTATTCATCTTTCTAATATTGAAAACGAAACAGAGAAAAATATATTAAAATAGATAATAAATAGTTTATTAATACGTCTCTTTCAATATTCTGTCATTGAAGATAAAAAAAACAATGAGCGTTGTTTTATAGAAATAAATAGTTCATATGAATAAACAATCGTTAGTAGTGAAATCAGCCCAATACAAAATAAAATATAAATCTTTGAACAATTAATGATTTGAATGAAAACTAATTGACATAATCCTATTGTTATTGATATATAAAAACCTATGTTTCTTTTATTGCTTGAATAAAATAAAGAAAAACACACATAATATAGAACAACCATAAATGCTAAAGTAGAAATATAATTTAATCTTCTTCTTTTTCAGGATGAATTTTTTCTCCAGCTGGTATATCTGAACCTGGTGAAATTTGAACTCTTCTACCAATCATTGTCAAGTCTTTTTTCTCCCCAACACCAATTGTTGCTCCTTTACCAATAAAAACGTTTTCATCAATAATTGCTCGTTCAATAAGAGCTCCTTCTTCTACATGAACTTCATCAAAAAGAATTGAATCACGTATAATTGCTCCTGCATCGACAATACAACCTGGTCCTAGAATTGATCGAATAATTGTTCCACCAATAACACAACCAGGTGAAATAAGACTGTTTTCAAAACGAGCTGAATCAAGTAAATGTGCTGGTAAACGTTGCTTAAATATAAAAAAAATAAAAATAAAAAAGTATTCAAATAAATTTTTAATATCTTACTGTACTACGTGTAAGAATAGGCCATTCTGGATCATCTAAATGTAATTCGGATTTTTTTAAAATTAAATCCATACTTGCTTTCCAATAACTTTCTGGTATACCAACATCTCTCCAATAACTATTCAAACGAAATTCCCAAACATTTCCTTCTTTAACTAAATTTGGTAATAATTCTTCACCATAATCTTTTAATTCACCTTTATCCGCTAATTGCTCAAGTGTATCCATTAATTTCGGATAATCATAAACAATTATTTCTGTTGTTACAAGATCAGATTTTGGATGTTTTGGTTTATATTCAAAATTAGTAACACGACCTTCTTCATTAACTTGAACAACTCCAAAACGTGATGCTGAATCACCTTCTGGTACTTTTGTTGTAACTATAGTTACATCAGCTTGATGATCTTTATGAAAATCTATAACATCACGAAAATCAAGTTTGTAAACATGATCAGCACTTAAAACTAATAGAAGATCAGGTGAAAAATCATTGAGCAAACGACGTTGTCGATAAATTGCATCTGCATTACCTGTGGCAAATCCACCATGACCATCATCATTATCTTTCAAAAACAAATACAAAACATCATCAATTTTTCATTCTATATTCATTATCAAACAAAATTTTCAAGTATTCAATATAATAGACTAGATTATGTTCGTCACAATTAGATACTATTTTTCAATTCAGAGTTGAGTTTAAATTACTTATCTAACGATTAACTTAAGCACAACTACATCACTAGCATATTCTGTGATTATTTGGAAAGGCGTTTTACCTGTTAGATCACAAACTAGAATACTAAAAATCTCTCTATCAACGACAAAATGCTTGTGAATCATATTTTTCATGTATATGTCCATAGAATAGTCAACCACAAAAGACATGAGGTCCTCAGAAAATTATTTCGTTTTCTTATGTCTTTTGTAGTTGATTATCTATGAAAGTATATATCAAAAAATTTGTAATGCTCGATGTGATCGAAGATATATGTCATAACTGCAATGTACCTCTCAGGATTGTTGATTGCTTTAAAGACTATCATACAAAGATGAACTGCTAATGCCTCTTTTTTGTTTGACACAGAAATGTAATTTCTTTGTAAAAAAAAATAAAAATCATATTTAAACATTTCTTATAAAAAATTTTGATTTTCGCAAAAACAAAGTTGGGACTCAAAGGATTAAAATGTTTCTTGAAATGTATTGATCTCACGAGCATAGATGGACAAAATTATTTTAAGAACATTTTGTCAGTGTTCTCAGTTAAGGAATGACAACTCGAATCATGTATGATTAACTTTAGAAAGATTTAAACTATTAAATAAAATATTTAATTAAAGTTTTCTACTATAGAAATACTTTTCTAGGTGTGATAAATTAGTGAATAGATCAAGTTAAATGATTTGATTTAAATTTTTAACAATCTAAATCGATTCCATCTTTGCTTTATATCGTGAATATTTCTTAGTTTAACCTTACTTCAAATAGACTATCATTCATAAATATTAACATTGTGGAGATGATGTTACATACGTTATACCATCTGTTTTCAGTACAGAAAAGATTTCCTTTCCATTAAACTGTTATGACTTGTAAGATAATAGGTCGTTCTATCTCATGCATATCTTTTATATGTTTCTTCCTGTTATTATAGATCTTTCTCAGATGTTTTTTCCTTTCTTTCTGCTACTATACACGGATGTCATCTCTTCTCCTCTCTTCATTTCATGTATTTTCATAAGACTTTTTTATGTAATCATTTTGAGTTGAATATAATAAATTGATTGAATAACTACTGTTCAAATGAAGAAAAATTTCATCTTCAAAAGGTTCATCTAGTTTATTACGTTTTTAAAATATATATTAAGATTAAAAAAAAAATCATACCTTGACTTTTTTCATTATTGTTCTTCTTCTTATCTTTTTCTTTGTTTTTATCTTTACTTCCACTTTGATCATTTTTATCATCATCGTTTTTATTCTTATCATGAACTTCAAAAGGTGGTAATACTCGAAGACCTCCATAGGTTCTATCCATATCCCATGGACGTCCATTAGCTAAATGTTCATTAAGTTTAAAAACTTCATATTGTTCAACAATCCAAACATCAGGCAAATGTGAATGACGACAATTACTCATAGAAAAATCAATTAAACGAAGAGTTCCACCAAAAGGAATAGCTGGTTTAGCTCTTTGTTCAGTAAGAACATCAAGACGACCACCTTCACCTCCTGCTAAGACTAATGCTAAAATTTTATGTCGTCTATCTTTATTTGATCTATAAAAAGATAAAAAGACGTTTGAAATTATTATAATCAAAATTAAATAAATATTTACGTATCGCTTTTTGGTTGTCTAAGTTTCCGAGGCGTCTTCACACCAACGCTCTCTAAAGTCGAACGAACTTTTTCAACTAAACGAGATTGCATCTATAAAAGAATATTTGAAAAATAAATTCATATTAATAGATAGATTTATTTTAAAAATAAATTCTTCTATTTTTAATTTTAAATAAATATTCAAAAAATATTCAACTCAATGATTGACATCGCGTAACAATGCTGAATAAGAATAGTGAAAACGCATGAGGTTACACAGTAGACAGAATCGATGAATCATCACTTTTATGTCCGACCAATCAGTGGATTAAACAACAAAAATCCTCACACGATCAAATCATAAATATTTAAACAATCCGTATTTGAATAGAAATTAATTTTTTTTTAATCAAATTAATCTTCAGCAATATCTCAACTAAAAGATGTATTCATTCGGGTATTGCTTTTCCACAATGTTACCATCCATATTATATAACAGTAGAGGGCTGCAGGTTACGCTATTTTCACAACCTGTAACTTGCCCTGCTGAGATTTTGACAACCTGACCCTGCCCTGCAAACTTTTTCGCGTATCCTGCCCTGTGAATTTATTTCATAACCTTTTAACCTGCCCTGTCCTGTTTTCTTTAAAACCGAAGAAAATTCCAAACTTTCGTATCAATTTATTATTAAATTTCATTTCAATTTGTTACAACCATAAAGCAAAACCAAACAACATTATATATCTCGAAAATTTCTAACCATCAAAATATCATCAACAATATCTAGGTTTAAAAACTGCCTTCTTTTTTCTAATACTCGATCTGATGAGCGAAAAACATGCTCCGATATGGGTGTGGTGTAGAGTATGAATCTTCTCTTCGCATATCCACATCCTATTAAGAGATTTCTTGTTTTTTAGTGTATTTGATTCATCTAAATAATTTTTTAAATGATAGCTAATAGTAGAAGTTTCACTTAATATGTGATATGATAATATCTCATAGAACAATCGACATTGTACGAACGGTTGATATTCATTATTGAAACATTTAATATATAATAAATGTTCCAAAAATGAACCATAAGATGATGATGGCGGTTGTACTGTAGCTATAAATTCATCAGTTTTAAGTTTTTCTATCATCTGCTTCTTTTTTCGTTCCATATCTTTTTTTGAATTAGACATAGTTGATATTTCACTAGCAAGAAAATCTAACTGATATTGATGATGATATTTGAGAGCTTAGTTAATGATGATAATAAAGAAAAGAGCAAGATAAAACTCAAAATAAGAAAACTAAATGCACACTTGAGTAGCTACACAATGTATAATGGATAGGCTACCGACATATCTGCTTCTATTGAGTATCTTTACGACTAATCTAAATTGATTTTTCAGTTCACTTTCACTTCTATTTTTTTTCTTAGTATATAACATTAGAAAAGATATCTATAATATCTAACGCATAAAACTAGTCACAGGTTGACAGGTTGCGATACTCGTATCCTGCAACCTGCCCTGTAAAAATTTTCGTAACCTGGTCCTGCCCTGCCCTGTCCTGGCAGGGCAGGGCAGGTTACCTATACCCTGCAGAGCTCTATATAACAGAATAAATCAATTTCAAATAAAAAAGAATATAACTTATTTAACAGATATTTATAAATTTTCATTATCAATGATTGATATACAAATTATCATTAGATCAGAATTTATAATTTACACAATTATAATAATACAATTAACATGAATATCTTTTTTTTATCAATGCAAAGACCAGAATTAGAAATGAACCATTTTTAACTATTGACAAATCATTTGACCGATAACATTAACATACATAGAAAATGAGTCAAGTTTCGCATTAATTAAATAGTATTTTTAAAAAATGATATTAGTCATTATACGGTAAAAGAGAATATTTTTGATATTGATCTCCAACTACCTGATTAATTGATTTATGAAAGAATCTAATTCGATTCAAAGATTAAAACTTACTTTATACTTACATTTTTCTATCAAATAAATTGTTGAAAGTCCTCTGACAAAAGCAACAAAACATTTTTTCTTCTTTCATTATTGCATCAAAGTTAACAATGAGCCTTTTTCATAAACACGATAAATAAATTAGGCATTTTAAAAAAATGCGTTAGATAACTTTCGAATATTATCAATGATTTTTATATGTTATTAAAATCATAACCAAAAATTCATCAAAAATGTTTATAGAAAAAAAAAAAAAAGATGTATTATAAATCAACAATAGCTTTAGCTTCTCTTAATAATCGTTCTAAATCACCTCGTTTTTCTAAAGCCATTGTATCATCACCACCACCAATACATTTTCCATTAATAAATACTCGTGGTACAGTTTTTGCACCTGTTAATTTTCCAAGTTCAGTTTGATATTGATCAGCATTTGATGATAATTGATCAAGTTCAAGTACATGATAATTTTTATCTAAATTATATTTTGATAAAATATTTTTTGCTTTTGATGAATAAGGACAATAAGATTTAGAAAAAACCATAACTGGATATTTATGAATTAATTGTTGAATATGATCACCAACAGATAAATCAGATGATGATGATAATGATGATGAATCAGATGAAGACCATATTGAACCCATATTAACTTTTCTATTACTTTGATCAAATATATAAATAACAATAACGAAAAAAATACAAATAAATAACGTTAAACAAATACACTCTTTCACACGCATTATTTATCTGTTTTACATAAAAAAAAAGATAATCTTAGTTTCCTAAGCAAACAGAAATATATCATCTGGCTCCACTGAACTAAACCAGAACCAATCAATCTATAAGTACAAAATGACTAATTATGAGTTATGCAATTGGATATAATATTATTGTCGTATCTTATTTAAAATTCTATTGAAATAATACAATACAACATGGTGAAATTAGATTCAGGAGTAAAGATTGATTAGTATCTCTTTGAATTTATTTGCGTTGTTTTTTTGGATAAAGATAGTCGATGAATAATACTGACACCTTTCGGTGAAAGAAATTTTATTGATAATGGAATAAAAAAATGAAAGTTTAAATATATGATCAAACAAAAGTTGGATTTTGTTCTATTTGTGATGTTGGTGGACTAGTTGGTGATCCAAATTTTCTTTCAGTTTGTCGAAAACTAAATTTATTCGCTTGTAATTTAGCTCGTTTTCGATAGAAAATAAAAACAATAACTGCAAGACTAAGTATAATAATGAGTATTAAACTAATAGTCGAACCAGGATTTGATGAAGATGTACGATTATTTGATTCAATTTCTTGTAATGGTACTTTTTTTCTTTTCAAACTTTCATATTCACTTTCTGAATGAATAATAAATGATAGAATAAATTATTATTTTTGTTTTGTTTCAAGTATACTTGCAATATGTTCTATTATTGAGGATGTATATATAACTGATGGATATGTTGTTACAGGTATTGACAATGTCGTTGCTGAAGATGAGTCTTTACCTATTAATTTTTTAAACCAGCTTACACCCATCGAAATAAGGTTTATAACAGAAGTTATGATAATAACGACTGTTACTGGTTCTACCATAATAGATTTTATTAGAAAATTTTTAAAGATCGAACACGACAAAAAAAAATTTTGAAGAAAAAAATTGAAAAAGAAAGTGCGCTTTTGTTCGTTTTTTTTTCTCCTAATTTCTTATTATCCACTTATTTATTCAATGATAATAACTAATTTACTGTTTATCAATTGCATGTTTAAATAAATATAGCAAAATCAAGTTATATTTATCTACAAAAATTATCGCTTTAACTATTGCAAAGAATTTAAACAAACATTTATTAATTCGATTTTTCACATTATTTATTATAAACATAAAACGAAATTTCAATTCAAAATTTTGGCCTATTTCAAGCTTACCATGGATATCATAAAACTGTAATAGTAGCACTAAGACATTAATCCATTGATAAGACTGGTGGTTGAAAAATCCACGATGAGAATCGATTTTTTTCATAATCATAGTCGTTATTATCATAGAAGTATTTCAATAAAATTGAAAAAAAAGATCGGTCGCTGTCATTAACTACTAAGAATACCACATTACAATTACTTTGTATAAGCATTTGCTTTGTTTTTATTATATCAATCATACTAGAGCATTTATTGATTTTTTTTTATTAGCGAAATATGAAATAATTTCTTATTATTTTATTACTAATAAAAAGGAATTAGGAATAAAAAGTAAATATATAACAAAACAATAAATACAATATGAGGAATTGGTGTGAGTACGAATGTGAGTCTTCTGTGCATCTACACTCATGCTCACAAATAAAAAAGAGATACAAATATAGAAACTTATTGTGATGTAGATGGCATCCGTTAATAGGTTCTTATGAGCTTACTGGAAATTCTGAGAAACTCTATGGAATCGAAGAGAATTCTTTGGAATTCAAAGGAAATCTAAACAATTCGAGGTAATTCTAGAAACATAAAGAATTCCTGAACTTCAAGATTTTGTTATTCAATCCTTGATCTTATTCTAACAATAATGCATAAATATTAAGATTGGTACATGTTGGAAAAATGATACCTAACATTTTCATAATGCCTTAATGTGGAAGCGGAATGAGAATCTACAAATCTTGAATTTTGAATATAATAAAATCAAAATTTTTATCGTATTGAAAATAAGTTGTTTGGCGCTTCTTTCTCTTTCTCTCTCTCTCTCTCTCATTCTTAATTTATTAACAATTCAATGATGACTACATCAATAACAAAAACGAAAGAAAATATTTCATATGAGAAAAGTAAATCATCGAACCATCATCGAAAGGAAAGATTATTATCTATTGTGCAGAAGAACAATGATTGGTTATCAAACGATTTATCTAAAGAAATGACTCATCTATTCAATTCTATTAATAATATTTGTCATCAACAATATGTTACATTAGATGATATATTAAATTCTTCAAATTCAAATTCAACTTTAGGAAAAATTTATCAATTGTTTTTATCGTTAAGAAATAATAAAGATAATTTATTAAATGAAAAAATATTCGAGAATTTCATTTTAAAAAAGACACAAGGCTTAATAACTAAATTAAATCAAAAAAATAAACATTCGATGAATTTTATCGAATTTATCAAACGAATTGATCTTATAGCAAAAGAAAATCATCTTAGTAAAGAATATCTTTATGAAAAAGTAAATTTAATATTAATCGAATTTCTTTCTAATGATTTATTTTCTTAGCTTTTACATCGAACATTTCTCATTAATAATCAAGATCAAAATAATAATGCTCTTGATTATTCTCTTATTTCTCAAAATTTATTATTAAACGAATATAATAATGATTTATCTCGTCTTAAAAATTATTTTATTACACATACTGAAAAATCAAAAGATAATTCTCATTATCAAATGACTTGTTCAACTTTTATTCAATGTATTTGTCAACATATAAAATTAAATAAAATTGATATTCGTCTTCAATTGAATGCTCTTTTTTGTCAAATTCAATCATCACTAGTTAATCAAGGTCTTTATATTCCTGCTTCTCTTACAATAGATTTTCATGGATTTATTTTATGTCTTCAACAAATTGCTCGAACATTTAATATTAATTTAAGAATTTTAATAAAGAACTTGATTAATACCTAAATACAAAGAAAAAAAAACAAAGATAAATTCAATGTGTATCTGTATCATCGTCATAGATCCTGCGATGACTATGTCAATTTACATGACTTACTGTTCTCGTTAGTTATTTTCCAATTTTAATTGGTTTTTTTATCTGGAAAAAAAATATTCATCTGTTATGACTTAAGGTTTTCGAGTTAGAGCTCCTATGTCAGCTCATATTGTTGCAACCGATGCTAACCATTGTTTTTTTTACAGTAAATCAATCGCAATGTAAATATTTGAATGTGAAGAATTCACATGTTTTATTTTATTCGAGAATGTCGATCTTCCAAATAATTAATAGTACGTGGTTTTACGGTGATATAACAGTTGATCTATCGACATAAGAAACAATGAAATAAATACAAGAAAATAGTTTTATTTGAATAAGTTCACATTTAAAATGCAACAGAGCTCTTGCTGGTTTAACATCATAAGTCTCTTGTTATCAAATAAAAGGGACAAAATTTGTTGCTGGAATATTTCATCAAGATACACTCTGTCTCATCTGTCGATATATCGCGATTTTATATTACGTTTGGAACACTTAGAGAAATTTTCGTTGTAACAACACATTGATTATCGGAATGACTGCGCGTTTATTCATTTCTCTTTTTTGAAAGAACAGAACTCAGAATCAAATATTTCAATAATTAATTGATTAAAGTATTTACAATTTGAAAATACATTAAAAATGAAATCAACATAAATTTCTGCATTCCAAATTATTAACACTTTTGTATTAATCGACCTAATTTTTATTCGCAATTTGAACGCTAGGTGTGCGATACGCTTGAGAGGAGATCACTAATCTTGTTGACTATATAAACGACGTCATTCACATGCTTCAATATGTATGTTTTTTGTTTTCTTTTATTTATTCGTATTAGAAAAATATACAGAAAGAAAGAGCCAGAATGAGCAGCGTTTTGCGTACATATTTCATTATACCATCAACAAAAGCGTCACCTGTTTTTTTTTGCACTTACCAGATATTATTATATTTCTTTTTACTTCACTCAGAATTGAATTTGTTTTTAATTTTTATTTCGAATCTTCTCTTCTAGTAGATATTTTCAGTCTTCTCATCTAACTCCTATAATATTTCAAATTTTAATCTTGCATACAATGTACAGATAGTTTTTAAATATCATTCAAACATTTATTTGAATATAATCCGTAAAAATCTATCTACCAAAAAAACAAAAAAATAAATTGACACTGTTTAAAAGTTCTTATTTTTTTGTTTGTTTGTTGTTTTTAGTCAACATGTATTATTCTCCATTAGTTGAAGTAGATTCTACTTCTCATCATTCAACTACGACTATTGATTCAACTGGTAGTACATCTCATATTCGATCTGATCGTAATGATCATTTATGTCGTATATGCAAGAATCAACTAATTAAAAAACAACCAACTCATCATACACCAATTGAATGTCTTAGTCAACGATGCGAATTTTTAGAATTGGAAATTGTTCAACTTAAAGATCGTGATACGAAATCACGTTCACAAATAAAACAACTTGAAGATAAAATAATAAGATTAGAAGATGCAATTAAAGGATTGACAGCACCAAGAGAACAACTCGCAACTCCGTTTGCTTTTGGTGGTAAAGGGCATAAACATCGTCATCAATTGAAGAAATCAAAGTCTGGAGACATGCCTTTAAGTAAATCCAATATTAACTATGATAATATTTTACAATCAAAAAGGCCAAATAGTCGAGAACGTATCGGACTTTTTGGAAGTCTTGGTGCATCATCTCAACAGCATTAAATTATAAATTAATAATCGCGATAAAAACTCTTTATATACATGGGCGTGGCCAGTTGTGTTGATACCCCAAAATATAGGATGGGAAATAATATTATTTGAGAGAGGAGTATATAATGAAATTTATACCAAACGAAAGCTCGTCAAAAATGGAACTTATTGGTACTAAACAGTAAAGGTTTTGTGAACTTTGTAATGTCGATCTTCAAAAATTTTGAGAAATTTTAAACATATTCGTCATAGAAAACTAAGGTTTCAATTATATATGGACGAAAAATAGTAGATTTTTTCATAAAATCAGCTGTCTTCATTATTTTTACTACCTCATATGTTTCGAAATACACTTATTTGATTCAGTTTTCTACGCTGCATCTATTGAACATATTTCAAGACATATGAGATAGTCAAAATAATGAAGGCAGCTAATTTTATTAAAAAATCTACTGTTTTTCGTCCATATATAATTGAAACCTTAGTTTCCTATGACGAATATGTTTAAAATTTCTCAAAATTTTTGAAGATCGACATTACAAAGTTCACAAAACCTTTACTGTTTAGTACCCATAAGTTCCATTTTTGACGAGCTTTCGTTTGGTATAAATTTCATTATATACTCCTCTCTCAAATAATATTATTTCCTATCCTATATCTTGGAGTATCAACACGACTGACCACGCCCACATTTATCTTGGATATGTCTAAATTATTTTATCTATAAAAGAGATTTTATTTGCATCCCTACATATATTCAATGTTTGATTTGTGTGCGCTTTTTTTTTTGATATAGTATTTCACAAGAGTCTACGACTATCTAGATTTTGCGGAGTGAAATTCGCAAAAATCATTTTCTTGGTGCACTTTGATCGTTAGCAGAAACTGTAGTCCGAACGTCTTTTTATTTCATGAGATGAAAAATTTCATTGACCAACATTGTAACTTTTGTCTTTGATAGAGATTAGGGAATTTTTGAGATGTTTTAACCGTCAGTAGCAAGTACCTAGTTATTGAAACTTTTAGCACTCAAGTTCTCATAGAATAATAATCATTTTACGGATGAATTCACACTATTAGAATCACTCTTCTAGATAGATGAACTTTTCAAACATATTATATTTGAACGCCAAATTTTCCTCAGACACTTCTTAGCTTCTCTCCTATACGTAATACAAGTTTCAACGAATTACGTTGTAACGATGAAAAATAGCGCACAGGCCAAGACCTTTTAATATCATGACAGAAAAGCTGATTACTTGAAAAGTTTGTCTTGAGAAGAACATCATCTGACCTTCATTTCTATATGATAATATTCAAATTTCGATGCGCATATCTTTCGTAATAGTACAACATTGGTCTAGGTCAGTTTCTTGTATTGCTAAGAACAACTTATCGGTGTCTATATACCTAGATCTCATATAATATAAATGCGTTTGAACTACAATTTATGTCGAGGATCAAGGTTCCCCATGAATAGTGTTCCAGCCCATGGTATCGTATTGGTTCAAAGATTATTGTGAAGTACTCTAATAAATAAATAAGTTTTAAATAGATTCTGTTTGTTTCATATTATAGTATAATTGCTATTAATTATAAAATGATTTTCGTCTTGTTGAAGAAAAAGCTTAATACAAGTTTAGAATCCATTCTAAATCTAATTATAAGATAATTTTCGATCAACATATTCCAATAAAAGCTGAATGTTATGCAACAAGACATATTTTTTTCCAAATCAAAATCTTCATAATGTCTACAAATTGTTGATCAACGAGGAAAATAACAATGTTTAAACATTAAATTAAAATAAAATAAAAAACTGCATGTAAAAGTTTAAAGAATGAAAGAGTTGTTTTGTCTGTATTTGGCTTGAGTATATCAATATCAATAATACTACTTCGTTTCGTTTTTTACATCTTTATTATGATAGAATAAACTTAAAGGTCTTATGAAAATTAACAAATAAAAAAAAATCTTCTGTTGCAATTACAAAGACATGTAAGATCATATTGAATCTTAGCAAAACTTCTGAAAAATTGCATAACCTTGCAAGATATTTGTGAACGTATCAAAACGATTACTAATCATTAGTAATCAGATTATATTGATTAGAAAAAATTTGTTGATCTGTCTGAGATAATATTTTTTTATCTGAAAAAAAAAGTGTCATGTCTTTCTTGTTGCGCAATTATAATATAAAACAAAAGTAAAAATTCTAAAGAAATGATAATAAAATTCAAAGGAATACTGTATTTTTACATAAACTCATGTATATTAATGTCCATCAGTCTTTGTATTTCTTCAATTACAGTATTATTTATGTTTTATTGTTTTTTAAATGTACAATGTTAATATATTTATTATTAATATAAACGAAACATAATTACGATAGCTACATATAAATTTCAAATAACAGTATGATATTTGTTGACAAATGATTAATCAAAAAAAAATCGTCATAGATGTTTCAAATTTGATGAGCCAACTCTTGTTTATATGAATTAAAATTTATTTTTTCAAATTTCAAACGAATTATCATAATAAATATTAGAGAATATTAATCATTTTCAATTTGATTCTTGTTGAAATTGAGACCAAGCTTCATTTAATTCAACAAAAATAAGTTTAGCTAACTGTTCATTTGGATCATAACGAAGCTTTAAAAAAAGAACTAACATTATTTTAAAGAAATTACATATGAAATAATTTCTTACTTTATCTGGATGAATATGAAGTACAGCTTTTCTATAAACTTTTTTAACTTGTTCGTGTGTTACTAATTCACTCATTTGACATCCAGTCCATGTACATTCTGGCCATGTTACATTTGATAAACTACATAATAATGCTCGAATATTTCTTCTTTTACCTTTAGTCCATTCTCGAACCTATTTAACTTATAAAAATAAAAATAATTAAATTTAAATTGATTTTTACTTTGAGAACTGTTGGATCAGTGTCTTTATCTAATGTAGCTTTTCGACTTTCATCGATTGTAAGTGGTGTTGATGGTCCAAGTTTTTGTTTAGGATCTTTTACAAATCCATCTAAGTCTACAAAATGGTGAGAATTATGTATTTTTGGTTTTTGTGAACGATTTGGAAGTGAATTCGGTTTAACTGTATCTATCAACAAAAAGATATTTATCAAAAGTATAAAATTTTTTTTTTGTTTCCATTACTTGATTGTGGTTGAGAAGAAGAAATATTGTTTGTCATCATATTGACACTATAATTAGAACTACTTGTTGCTGATGTTGTATTAGATTGTTTAGTTGAACCTAAAACAAATAAAAAAAAATATGGAACGCTTCACGATTTTGCGTGTCATCCTTGCGCAGGGGCCATGCTAATCTTCTCTGTATCGTTCCAATTTTATTATATGTCCCACCGAAGTGGGACAACTATCTCTCTATCTTTTGCCTATATATATTCAATCGAGAGAAATAGAAAGAAAATGGTGAATGAATAGAATGGAAAATTTCGAGCAATAGAAATGAATGACATCTATCAAAAAAAAGTCTTACTTGACGCGTTCTGTTTTGTGTTAGCAATCGTTGATGCTCTTATAGGTGTTGGTACAAGTGTTGGCGATTCAGTTCTCTGTAAGTCAGATTTTAATAGATCAAAATCATCATCAAGAAGATTTTGTTGTGAATCGATACTTGAATTAAATTCATTTTGTTGTTTATCAGATGATATTGATCTTTCAAATATGAATCGATTATTTGAATAATTTTCTCCAATATCCAGAAGTGTATCAATAACTGTTTGTTCTTTATTTTCTTTTTCCTCACATATTAATGGTGAATGACTTCGTGATGTATGTGGACTAAGATTGTTTTGTTGTTTAAATGGATTATGTCGAGGATTTATAAATGATGATGGAGATTGAGGATTAGGTGAAAATGAACCTGAAAATAGAAGGCTACTTCGTCGTGATGATGCATTACTTGAATCAGGAGATGATGGAACTTCATTTTTACCATTGATATCACCTAGTTTATTTATTTTTTATTAATTCAATTGAAAAGAAAATTAATCTTACTATTTTGACGTTTAAATTGTTTCTCTATATTAAAGAAAAAAAAACATCGAATTAATTATTTAAAAGAAAAAATAATTAATTTACCAAAATCATTGATTTTTTGTTTTAATTCATTTTCATCTTTAAATATAGTTAAAGGTTGTTTTAATGTATTATCCAATTGTTTCGAAAATGAATCTTGTTCGTTTGTTATAGTTTGTTGTGAATTTGCAATATCAACTGTAACACGAAAATATTTTACAGATTTTTCATTGTGATCAATTCCATCCAATTCATTTCTTGAATAAGATAATTCTGGATGTTTTAATGTACTAAAATTTGAATTGATTGTAAATTCACCTATACGAATTCCACCTTCCTAAAAACAAATTTTTATTTTTATAAATAGATTTTGAAACAAAAAAAGAATTTACATGAGTTCGACGTGAATTACCAATTGTTGCATGTGTTATATGAATTGTTATATCACCTTTAAATGGAAGATTTATTGGAATAGAACAACAATTATCAGCTGCAGAATAAACTCTTTTAAAAAAAAAAAGAAGAATATATTTGATTAAAAAAAAAAAGAAACAGAAAAATCAAACCGAAGTTTAGCTGTTTCTTGATATGTTGAAAAGATTTTTTTTTGTTCTTGATCATATATATCAACAAATGGGCGACAACCATCTCTAATATAAAAAAAAAAAAGAAAATAATATATTTAATTCTATTTAATTAAAAGAAAATAAAAGACTTTTGTCGATTGACACATGGTACTGGTGATAAAGTTATCGATTTAAGAATTGATTCATTAAAATGTGGTTTTTCAATAACACCAAATGACAAATCACATAAATATTGTATATATCTGAATCAATATTATTAGAAAAAAATTTTATTATATCTAGAGAGGAAAAAAAACCTTTTTTGTGACATTGTTAATGATGGATATGCACATCCATTGGATTCATAATATTGAATAATTTGATCAACTCGTGGAAATATTTGATGATAAGCAAGTAATGAACATGCTCCAAATGCTAATTGATGTTTGGCATCCTATTTTAAATAATTAATTTCTTTCTTTTTTTTCACATAGAATTTGGAAAAACTTACATGAGAATGAAGTACAGCTATATTTGATGGTGATTCAAGTAAATATGATGTTATTTTTTGACAAAACCATAATAAAACAATGAGACGTGGTGATTGTTTTTCATCAAATAATGATAAGTTATGAAACTATAAACAAAAAAACATCATTTTTTTTTGAAGAAATATGTAATTTAAAACCAAACCCTATTATGAAATAAGTCTTGTTGATAAGATAATTGATCAATAGGAAATTGCTCAAGTGAATAAATCATATATGATTGTGGATATTTTGTGTCAAGAAAATTACGAATCGATTCAGCTGTTTGACGTGAAGATGCATCAGATGGGTTTTCGCGTTGTGTTGATATTACTAAAATATTTTATTCAATATTATCTATTTTACAAAGCTTTTATAGAACTAAATCAAGACAATGTATATGAAAATCATACAATCATCTAAGATAATTATACATCAAGATAGTCGGCCTTGCATTAGATGAAAGAGAGTAGAAGAAGCGAATTTGGATATGTGATTGCCTCATTCTCTAGATAGTCGAATTAATCAAGTATGGAATTAGTATCAGTCGGTCCAGTCATCAATCTAATTTATTTATTTCTCTACTTCTATCGCAAAGACTCATTTAACGTTTCTATTGATTCTAATTATAGAATGCCGTGTATATTTTATGCAATCAATTTTGCTTCTTTTTTTTCATAGTTTTCTTTATCATGGTTAACTGTTCAAGACTTTGAATTGGTATCAAACCTATTAGATATTAAGTGAAGAATACTGTCTTTCATATTAGAGATAGACATGATACCAGTATGAATTTCAAATTGATCAATCTGTGAACGAACCAATAGTAGTCATAAAAAATCTAGACTAGTTTCAAATATGGAATTAAGTTTCTACTTGATATCTACTTTTTTGTATAATATTTCTACCGATATCGAATGAGCTTTCTCAGAAGATCTTTGTGATGCTTGAACAGATTTCTATGAATTATACGTTTTCTTTCTTTACTAAGTGTCTCAATCATACAGAAGTAAATTAGATTATTCTAGAATTCTTAACTTATATTTTAAAATAAGATCTATAGACATATTGAAGCTCTGTAGTATATTCTAATGAGAAAAAGTCTCGGCTGAACTGATTAGAGAATATCATTCTGATGAATTAAACTTTCTATAATAATACATGAGTAAATTAATACCGATTAATCTTGAAGTAATATGAGTAACACCAGTGTCTGATTGATGATGTGGTGTATTGTTTGAAGCAAGTGGTGTTGTTGCACTATTTGATCGTGATAGTCTAAATAAAATAATTTTTTTTCAATATTGAAAAGAAAAATAAGAAACACGAAATATATACTGTTTAGATTGTTGTATACCAAAAAGACTTTTGAATAATTTTCCTGATGTATTATTATTCGCAGAAGTTGATGCTTTTGATATTCCTAGACCAAAGTAAAATTTTTATTGAAAAATGGAAAAGATTAGCTTGTACCTGGTGATTGACTTGTTGGAGCATTTGTACTTTTTGAAGTATATGCTTTCTTGTTATTATTATTATTATTATAAGAAGAATTAACAGATTCATTACTACCAGCTTTATTTCCTATAGAGGAAGTTTCAACATTTTCAACAATTCTTTGCATTGTGGTGTATTGACGTGAATCTATTTGCAACAGTCCACAGCTATTTCTCAACGAATAAAATAAATGTTAAACCTCTGACTATTAAAATATTTCTAATGTGTTAAAGAAGAACAGCCACTTCCTTTTATAGTGATTGTCAAAGAAAGAATATTACTTTTTTTATTCTGTGAATTTGAGATCTCAAAGAACGAGAAAGTTTCGTATACAAAGAAAAAATCCGTAAAGATAAAAAAAAAGTAAAGATGAAATTGTGTCTAATTGTTCGAATATCTTATCTATTCTTTTTTTAAACTTGTCTCTCTTCGTGTTGATTTAAGTATCAAGTACTCATGTATTACATGTTTCGTGTCATGTGCTGATATTAGATGATTACTATCAAGAATAACAAAATTCAGTTAAATCTTCAAATAAACAACTAAAAATATCTATAAAGAAATCAAAAAGCATCTTAATGCGTAAGACCAAAACTGTTATTTACCAAAATCAACAACGAAGAAAAAAATGAACTAAAGTCATTTTTCTATTATTTATTTTGTAAGATAGATAAGATGCTGATAAATCACATGCATTTTAAGAGAGAAAACTAAAAACCTTAAATTATTATATATCAAATAAATCTATTTCATTCAGCTTATCAAAAGTCCAAAGACATTCTTTTTATTTTTCTTTAAGATATATATATGGAGGTGTCCAGTCTGGCC